TTTGAACAGAAGAAAATAATGTTCGAAAAAATGCTATCTCTTGTTTGCTGTTGCTTTCCAATACTAACATCATCTACAGCATCATTATCAACATCCTCTATCAAACATAAACGCCATACAGAGTATAAACAAAAAAAGCTTTTGTGATATCTTGTCGTAAGTCAAGAATGGGTAAAATAAAAAAAAAACAAAAGAATTAAAAAAAAATCCACCAACATTGAAATTATGTTGACTGCACGAAGATAAATATATATATATATGAAAGTCTTATAAATGCTCTTTAACATATTTTTTATTGTTTTCTGGTCTTGTGAAAAAAAAACATCTTTATGCATGATAATAAGCATGGCTTCTTGTCTGCTAGACATTATTTTTCTAAGAAACTAAAAAGAACAAATACCATATTGAATAATTTTTTTCCAGCTTCATCTATTCCATGTGAGCTTTCTTCAAAAATAATTCCATGTACACCGACAACAGCTGATTCAGTACAACATCCATTTTGTGATGATTCAACAAGTACATTAATTGGTGATTCATCAACATTAATAACTGATATATCATCTCATGAAATATTAAATAATTCATCATGTATTTCAGCTATTCGAGAATTAATTGAAACTGAACAACGCTATGTTAATGATCTACGCGTTGTTGCTAATGAATTTATTAAACCATTAAGTAATGGTCGAATTTTAAATAATTATGAAATTGAACAATTATTTAGTAATTGGTTTAGTTTAATTGCATGTAATACTGTTTTTCTATCGACATTACAAGAACAGGTACAATATAAAGAACATATAGTCACATCAAATACTGATATATCTATTCGAACACCTCGTTCAGTATTTATGTCAAATATTGCAATGATTGCACAAGTTAGTATTCATACTTTGCATCATACATATATATTGTTTTTTCTTTTCATTCATTTTCAGGTACCAATTAACTATGTTGATGATAAACGCCCTCAGTCATTGATTCCTCAAATATGTGATTCACCTCCTGTTCGT